CTGCATTTTATTTCTACAGTGCACCAAAATGCAGGAGCAAGGAAATAACTTTCAAGATGTTTTAACCTACAGTCCCCTGGAGCAAGCAGGCTGAGAGAATGGCTCCTCATGGTCCCTTAGCAGAGCTCCCTAGGAAACTGCCAGCAGTAGAGCTTTATGAAGATGTTGTACTATATTCCTGTGTTGTGTTCCGAGGAAAACACAACCGTACAAGTTAAAAGCCATCTGGATGCATGAACATGAAATTCATGGATGTGAACTGCCCTTTGAAAACAAGAGAATTTCTCAGATTTAATTCTTGTAGCTGATTGGATGTTGTCCAATGAAATTGTTTGAACAGCTGACCTTCCAACCTCAGATCCTGTGAATTTCCAGCTTTTGGCCAGCACTGAATACCATATTTCATTAAAGTGATACAGAGCTATAGGACAACTCTATTACCTGTGGGATAATCTGAGTCAACTCCTCTTCTAGTTACAGGAAACAAGTTCTGCAAAGCATTCTGTACATTTCTGAACTGAAAGCTTCTGCCTTAGGTGTCAACTTCATTCCTTGGCTCATGGCAGAAACTGAAATATTTTCCAGGGCTCTGTGCAATGAGATTGGTCAGACTGGGTTGTTTTTCTTTTTGAGTGAATTAAAAAGACAGTGTAAGGACCCATACATCCCTAACTGGGTCTGGCAGTCTCAAATGGATTGCTTTGGTTGGAGTTACCAGATCAGCAGATTACCTGTAGAGTGTCAGCCTATAATTCAAATAAATGTCCAAACCTTGTTTATATTTATGGAAATCGAAATCACATATCACATTCCTCTACAAGTCTACTGTACAGCTTGGGTTTTTTTGACTTTCATAGTAATTGTCCAGTCAGAACTGGAGAATTCATGATTTAATTTAAACAAGGGCTAGTGAAGTTGGTTTGTTCACAGAGCTCACTGGTAAGACAAGCAGAATTGCTGTCCTTGCTTTGTGGAAGAAGAGGCTGAATCAGAGAAGAGAGTGACTTTCTGAAGGTCATCTGGTAGATCAGTGCCAAAGAGCACTTCTGATGCCTAGTCCAGCATTTGGGTGATATGATGCACAGTGGACCAAAAGCTGGAGAAAAGGTACATTATTATCCATGTTTCTTAGATGAGGAAAGATTCTGTAACTTTTTCCTGGTCCAAATATGATGTGTTCAAATAGGACCTGAAAAACAGAGCATCCAGCCCTTCTGGGCAATTTGGACAAAACACAAATGTCTTTTCACCTAATTCTGTATCGCTGACAGCCGAATTACTCAAAAAGCAGCATAATCACAGCACAGCTGTGGTCAGTCGTGAGGTATTTCTGAAGTAGGCATTTTCAACTCCATTTAGTCTTGCCTGACTTGTCTGTTTTGATGCACAAGTTCCGTTTTCATTATGAGGCGATAATAAGCTTGAAATTGCTGCTTTTCTAATCCAAGTCAAAAGCTCACCTCTTTGAACTAGGAATGCTGGTGAAAACAGTTTAAAGGCTTGGAAATGTGAATGAGCTCTCAGCTACTCTGGCCACATGCTGGATAATTAAATGTGTGGCAGGAAGAAGAAATTTCCTTCCTTTAAAAAAATGAATCTTTCACAATAGTGGTCATCATGAGATTTATTAAAGAATTGACTATTAAGGGTTATTTCATGACAATCTGGGGATGTGCCTTTCAGACTGCAATCAGCATGGTCAAACTAAATATGCATGTATAAAAGATAACGGGCTCTCCACTGCGTATATGTATAACTTGTGACTGCATTGTGCTGTTGCCCAACAAGGCCCTTATTTCATGGCAAACTATCAGAACAAATTCTTCCATCTTTGTAGGGAACACAAGGTTGGAACCAGCTGAGTATTTCATAGAATCAGAGAATCATAGAATTGTTAGGGTTGGAAAAGACCTTAAGATCATCTAGTTCCAACCCCCCTGCCATTTCCTTTAGATTAATGTAAGAATCAAAAATAATACATGAGAATGCATTAAGTGGCTCAAATGTTTAATTCTGAAGTTGTTGACTTAAGAAAAACGGCACCAGGGAATAATATGGTGATGTTTTTTGGCGTAATCCACCAGTTCTACAGACAAAAAATTTCAGACCACTGACAGCTTGAGCTATGGTAGGTAAGCTTCATGATTCTTCTTTCTGCAAGTCAACAAGAACTAAAAGATGTATTTTTGTCAGTAATCACCTTTGTTTTTCCAAAGTGCATAAATCACATTTGGTTTGCTCTGAAGGCTATAACATTTCCAAGCACATCTCCAGAAAACCTCTGGAGATCTAATTATTCCAGGATACCACCAAAAAAAAAAGTTATTACTTATTTGAACTGCTAAAAGTGCTAGCTGCAATGTGATGACTTCTCTGCCAGTGTTATTCTCCTTCAGGAAAGAGTTTCTAACCTCAATAGCAAACATAGCTAGGTTTTTATTTTCCCAGGACCTGAGTTCAATTATTGAATAGGCCCTAGGCTGAAAGAACACCAGGTACATGCAACATCCAGTATTTTAAAACAGCAATAATAATAACTTTTGTTTAGAAAAAAACCCATAGATTTTAGTTCAGAACATAGACCAAATGGGGAAATTATTCTGATTTAACTGAGCCTAAAAGTTGCTATTGTACCAACTTCAGTGGAATTATTCTTATTTGCATCATTTTAAAGTCAGGAGTCTCCAATTCTGGGTCGAAATCAGGTGTGGGGATCACAGAAAAGCAGACCCTAACCCTTAGTCTATAGCAGAAAAGAAGAATCTGATGAGAAAGTCATGTGTCCTCAACTGTTACTGTTCCCTTCACAGCGGCCTTTGAAGAAAAGTATTGTCATAGCTGGATTTCCTTTTGTTCCTACATGATTGACTGGTAACCTGAGGGCTGATTGGGTTTCTGAGATAAATAAAGTAAGAAGAATCTAGGTATTTCCTTTGCTTAAAATAAATCTAAATCTTAATTCTATGTGGCTTAGAGGAAACTTGAAAAACTTTTCCTCCGTTGTGACTATTTTATACTTTACATGTCCTTTATACTTCCACAGTTCTGCCCAACACAGGCTCCATCATCATGGTAAAACCTCTCTGTGACCTTTGAAATTGTTTGCATGTTCATTCTCTGACATGACCTGAAATGGCTCTTGGCACAATAATTGTGGTTGCTCTTAAGAGACAGACAGGTGCTTGCTGGGGACTGATGTATGGAATTCATGATATAGATTCCTTGCTCATAAGCCAAAGAGCAGAAACCCGCTGCATGACTTTGCTAATCTAAACCCGAAATAATGAAACTGTAGCCCTCTATACATTGGTCCATTGTGCTCCCTCTTGTTCTCTTTTCAAGTCTTTTAGATGCATACATTTTAAACAAGTTATTACTCATTTCTCTCTTGTGATTTTTGTGGTGGTTTTGCCCTCATGCCCCAGTTTTTAATGAATTAGATCTCTTCCCCAGGCAACATAGACTCACGTACACATCAGAAATGAAGAAAAAGTAATTCTGAAGAAAACAGCCATATACAGTATGATACATCACTGGTGAACTGCATTCCAAATAAACACAACCTGGTACTTCATGTTATTTGTGGCCTGAAAAACAGTTAGACACCTAACATAATATTGGAAAGGGACAGAATATGTAATCCTTACAGAAATAATAATAGGTTGTCCTGTAATCTCCCTCTCTCCACATCTTCTAGTGACGTGTCAGAGATCTCGGCCTCTTTCTTAGACCAGAACTAAACACTGTCCATAGTAAAATTTAGGTTTATGCAGTGCTTGAGGCAGTCTAGGACATTGTTGTAGTCACATTTTGTTGCTTCTGCTATTATAAGTGAGATTTCTTTTAAATATGGATGCTTAAATGTGTCAAGACCAGAAGACTAAAATACAAGTATACAGTCCACAGGTTCTTAAGAAGTTTTCATAAAGTGCTTAAGATAAATTAAACAATTGAATGTAGCATTTTGGCTTTCAATCTACTAATAATCTAGGTCAAACCAGAACCAAATGTTTCACATTTAACACATTGAAATGCTCCCCAGAGGTTCTTAATGATGATACCAGCTTTCATAAACAAAATATCCACTGAATTGTTGTGGTCAAATCAATATTTCACACGCCAGATCTCCAAATCTTACACGCACTGAGATTATCTGAGACATGTCAAGTGGATACACAGGACCACTGTACCTTGAGCCTTTATACTCTGAAAGTCCCAGTGCTTTATCTGATTTTTATCTCCATTTTCTTACAGGCACCCAGGAAATCTGTCCCAAGGCAAGGAACTGAACCTCAGAGCAGCTCTTTCAACACTTTGACCATTAGCCTTTCCTTCCTTCCCAGATATGTGACTATTTTTTTACATGTTTTTCAGAATGAATGCTTGTAACATTAAGCATTATACAAGTGCTGCAACATTCCTGACTTTTTCTGGAATCTAGCACAGTAAAGCTATTGTCTCAAATCAGGCAAAGTGTTTACATAAATATTTAGAGAGAATTCACTGTTAATAATTATGAAATATTATTATGAATATCATTCATAAGAGGTAGCTTTTTTGTCTAGCCAAAGGTCATCTTCCTCCTCAGGCTCATACACAGTAAGTCATTGACAAATTACATACTTTACTGCTGGCCTATCATATGAGAGCAGCTGCAGGTCAGAATGTTGCACATAAGTCATAGAATCATAAACTCATAGAGTGCTTATGGTTGGAAACGAGCTTAAAATCACCTAGTTCCAGCACGCTGCCATGGGCAGGGACACGTCACACTAGACCGTGTTGCCCAAAAGCCTGTCCAACCTGGCTTTGCTATAAATTTCCTTTTCAATAATAGGCCTAAAAGAAATAGAAATGTATTAATTTACAAATTCAACTTTAACCAATTCCGCCAAGATTGGAGCTTTACAAGGTACACATTTAAACTGAGTGAACTATTTCAAGAACCAACTTCGTAGTACTTGGAAAAACATTTAGAAATAAATGGAAATGTTTGTTACCTTGGCTGATGTTTCAAACCAGCCCACAAACCCATTATCTTTGCAGAACTGATCCATCTTGATGCCGTTGTTCATAAGAACATCTATTCCCTGGTCACATTTGTTTGCTAAGAGGACTGTCGGCACAGGCTTGCCATTTGGAAGAACCAACTTAGAGTCCAAATCCTCTTTCCATTTTGTCACTGCCTCAAACGTTGCAGGTCTTGTAACATCAAAGACAATAAATGCCCCCATGGCTTCTCTGTAATATACCCTGGTCATGTTTCCAAACCTTTCCTGACCTGTGATAAAGAAAAAAGGAGAGAGAAAAAAATTGCCACCTTGTAAAAATCACTGCTTCCAGTCTGAGTCAATATTTCATACAGCATGTTTTCTAAGAGAACATTACTGAAGGTAGGACTTCATTTTGTAAGTCTTTGGAAAGGTGCTGTTTGCCTAAATAATGACAAGTACTATGCTAAAGTAATTTGCATGAAAATACAACAAAGTATAGCATGGAAAAAGAGTTTTAAAGCAAACATCCAAGGAAAGTTAATAACTTTATGACAAGCTTGAGCTTCAGTGTACAGTCTTATTATGCTGCCAGACTTCTAAGAGTGGATAGTCCCAAGGGTCTTGGTGTACATTATAGGACTTTAAACAGGAGTCACAAGAAATCTAGATACCAGTCTGGAAGCTGCTCAACACTATGGTATTTTTTTGGAAACATCTAGCAATTGATCTGCTCATGCAGGAACAGAACCCTGCATACACTCATGCAAGTAGTAATAATCAACAGTAACATACTCTGAGGCCATACCAGGCATTAGAGTCATTATGAATTTACTTTTAGTGGCAAACTAAAACACAGAGGTGAGAGAAGTGAATTTAAAGCCTTGCAAATATGGAAAGTGTTCTAAGAAAGAGCTGTATTACTGCAGTGAAAAGATCTGGGAGGAGGTATTTCACATTAGTTCTGTTCAGAAGCTTTATGGTTTCATTTGATGAATTCAAAGTATTTCTTGGAAGTTATTTACAGTGTTTTTGTGAGCTAACAATAGATTATTATATTTGAACATGGACATTTGTAAATGTCTACCATTTTATATGATCAATATAAAAAACAACACACTTGGCATCGGGATGTGGGTTTGTTATACACATGCTGTTTTCATGGGAATTTTGAAAGAGCATTTCCTGGAATGGAAATAAATTACACAGAATTTTTCTTTAAGCAAAAAAATAAAATAGAATTTCTATCGATGTCTACTGCTGAGCTGTGATCTGAAAAGAAGAATTATATTCCTGAAACATCTCACAACAGCAGCCTTAAATACAACTTTAAGAGTTTAACAAGACTCTTGTATTTATACATATGCTTCCATAGCTGAGAAAAGGTGCTACGCAATAAAACAGCATTCAGTGGAAACCTGTTTGTAGCCTTATTTTCTCAATGTGCATGATTTTGAGAAGGTTAGTAAGACAAGATTAGGAGGCTGCCTCTGACCTTAGGAAGGCCACCTGGGGAAGCTTTATCTGGAAGTTGCGTTGTTGGATGTAAAGCTGGGTTGAGAACTGAAGAGTGCTGATTACTGGGCTTCTAGACCATGTAGTTTCATTTAATGGAAGTAGCACTGAATGCAGTTATGGGGTCAACACTCTCCATTTGTGACGTTTATCTTTGGATTTATGTTCTAGCTGTTGCAGCAAGGAGAAAGTCATTCACGTGATACAGGAACCAAATATTGGTATCTGTCTTCTCCAAGTTAATATTAGGGTTTTTTTACCTTAAACAAGCACTCTGTTCCACTGATAAAACAAGCTGAAAATGCAAAATTTCTGGGAAATGTGAGTTCATATTGAAAGATCCTTATGGCTGTGATTTGTTAAAATGTCTTATGATTCCTATCACTGGGCTAATCAGATGAATGGGCAAGTCATGTGCTATTCAATAATCTCCTTGTTGAGCAATTTTCATTCATCTGCAAGAAGGTGCCTTCAAACAGAAGTTGAGGTCTGACTTCTGCTTGCAGAAATGCAAGCAGCAACATGTAAAATTAGCTTTTGATGCATAGTATATTTCAGTGATACTTTATACTTCTGCAAAGTTCTTGAAACGCTTACACTGTAGATGAGATGTAGACAATGTAAGAACTAAACTTGGGCCTTACACATATTAATTGGAACAGAGATCTCTAAGATAGGTGGGACGTCATAGAACAAGAACTAAATTATTCATTTGCAACATAAAATAATTCATCACAAAGTTATTAGAAGAATAAAAGACTCCTATGATGCGATCTTCTGGATCATAGTGGCCGACGAAGTTCTGACAGATAACATTGCACTGATTCCTCCTCCTGCTTTGGCAGATATCTAGGTTTTTCACTGCACAGAAAAAACACTGTGTTTGTAAAAGCAGCTTTATGCAGGGGAACAGTGCTCACCAATTTCCATTACCACTTCAAAGAAAGAGAAAGAATGAAGCTGATGGCTGAATAATGTGTGTAAACCCTTTCTGAAGTGGTCTTCCCCACCCATTGGTTGCAATAAAGATATGAACCTGCTTGGCATAAAGGCATTAAGCAATTTTGAATGGGAAAAAGGTGGTCTGTAAACCCCAGACTTTTCTGTCACTTGCATAATGGCTTTACTTTTACTTTATTTACATTGTAAAAAAAGTGATCTCTAGTGTTTGCATTGTGCTTGGAGACTTAAATACTGTGTCTAAGGACCCAGGAGGAATATTTTTCCAGAGATTCTCCCTTATGTGAACAAATCCCTATCTATTAGATGGGGGTCCTAAAACTTATTCATATAGCAGAATTACTCATGAAAATGGGAACAGTTTGATGTATTAAAGGTGTCAGAATCTGGCCTTAGGTTTTCAACAACACAATGGCTTAAGCAGTAAGTAGGTTAGAAAATAGATCAACCATTAGGCATCCAGTGGTATCTTGGAGGCAACCTTGAACATTAGGAACTATTTATTGCAAGAGGAACTGAAGGAGATGGGTTTTGCTTTTCATTGGAAGGGTCAGAAGCTTGTGAACTGTTTGATCTGGCCCATTGTACTTTACTGCACCCCTTGCAAGGCCACTGGCATCTGGCATCAAATCCCACAAATCTGATGGCCTTTGCCCACTGAGATGGTGTTTTATGTTGTGATCCATTAGCCCTAATTTAGGTTCCATAAAATTAAGGGGTGGATCTACTATTAGGGTCCCTTTGTAGTCAGAGACTGAGACGAGATCTAGAGGGCATCTTCTCAGCAAGAACAGACATTTAAGAGTGGTCTCATAAACTTCTTCATGGAGGTATTTAATCTCTACCCTCAACCCCCTGGTGAGCCCAGGGTGAGTAGCTCAGGCTCAGATGGTTTAGTACAAGATGTCTAATTGTTAAGCCAGATGAATTCTACCCCTCTTTGAAGTGAACCCAGTGAGACCGAGGTGCCAAAACAACATTTCCATCAAGGGGAAGGGCTCCCTGTCTAAACAGCAGCTTCCTGCCCAGCTCTCCTAACTTCAGTGGCCCTTCTCTCACAGGGACATGTAACATTTCATAGGCTTAAAGCAGTCAACAGCTGAATTTTCATAACTTATTCACCCCACATAAACTTGCCAGCATGAATTGCGCAGAAGTCTACAATTTCCACTAACCACTATCATCTCTGATGAAATTGTAAAAACTAATGGTAAAGTGCTAAAACTCAGATAATTTCCACCGTCTCTCATATAGTTCCTGAATTACAGTGCAATATAAAAATTAATTAAAACTGCCTAATGCCCGGTTTTCCAATGGGGTTTGCCACCATCCATTGTCCTAAGAGGAAAACCTTCTGAGAACCACCATTGCTATGTAGAGGGGCTTTAGGCAGCACTGAGAAGTTGGAAACTGTGGAGAAGATCTAAACATTTGAATGAACCCTTCACACCTTCCATTTCAATATAACTTTCATAATTTTCATCCTTGAATTCAAGCCATTGTCTTTATGGGCTGAAACCTAAGCAAGCCTTAATGTGGTGTTCATCACCCCAGAATGGGGAAAAGCAGGCTGTCAGCAGGATCAGGCCCATGGATCTCACCACAGATCTGTACTGAAATAAAACCACCCAGGCAGGGGCTTATTTATGTTTGCAGAACAGTAATTTCAAGGTAACTTAGCTTAGAAATCACCATGACTATCTTATTTTGCATATGTACTGCAGATGTGCTGTGCCTTGCGCTAGTGAACAGCCCATTTACTCATCCTGGAGCATAACAGAAACTTTATGACTGCTGAAACGTTTGGTCATATCTGTGCAAAGTCTGATGTTTCCAGAGGTGAAAGTTGCAGGGCAAGGAAATGAAAGTGTTCTGATACCACTGGTGTTGCATGGATGTCTCAAAATGACTGGTCCAACTCTTTATGAGACAAGAACCAGCCTTGCAGAGGCAAACCAATATATATTGGGTAGCAATGAATAATCCAGCCCACACACGCACAGCAGGAGGGATAGCAGCGATGATGACAGGGCTGTGAAAAAGTAGCAGTGGAAGGGGAAGGCTCTGAAGTGCTGCTCTCTGCCCTCCACTGCACTGATGTTGATGCTCCCTGCAGTAAATCTGCAGCTAAAGCTGGTCTTCAGTGATCTGAGGGCTCTGTGGACACAAAGCGCAGACAGCAGCACTGAGAGCAGCCTTGCAGAGGAGGGAATAGCAAATACACCCAGATCTGATGCCTGCAACAGTTGGTTTCTGCAAAAGCAGCCCCAGCCTGCATCTGCAGGGCCACCACACCACAGCGCTCTTGTTCAAAATAGGATTAAGAGTTTCTTTTAAAGCTTTCCTTTTATCAGTCTGCTCATTAATTTAAAGTATACTCCTACCGAGGCAGCAGAAAAGATAAGGAAACAAAAACAGCTGACTGAGGACCAAGATTTAAAGATGTATGACCCGCCAGTAGAGGCGATGGCACACTTTCACAGGGACATGAACACCAAAACTGAGAATTTGGGACATTCAATGAAATAATTTGGAACTGCTGTAAGGAAATTAAAGAGAATTTTACCATGTATATCTCAACCCAGACACAATAGTGAAAATTCAGTCACAACAAACTTAGGCATTTGAGTGGAGAAGACATAAAATCAGACTTTAATGCCAGCGTCTTGGTACAGAAATTGTAACAGCATAAACCATGAAGCTTTGTCCAGTTATTCCTGTCTAGCACCATAGTTTCAGGAATATATTATCTGTTACAAAAAATATCCAAGTCTTAATGTAGTAGCATGTGATGCAGAACTTACCTGATCCCTGAATTAAATTTTCTAATGCTTAGTTCCCTTATCGTTCAGCACTTATGTCTCATCTAAATAAATGTGGTTTCAGCATTTAGCGATTAGACCTTATTATACTTTTGTTTAACAAATCAAAGAATACAGAAAAATACTTTTAAGAAATACAAACTACATTGATCTATGAAATTAGATAGCACCAGATGAACCAAATTTGCTTTTTCTTCTTATGTGTGTAAGGGTAAAAGAGGGTAAACTGTTTGGTCCTACCACAGCTGAAGTATGTCACTGCTCCAATTAAGTCACTGTGTATGTAAATCCTGCTACTAATGCAGATGAGCTTCATACCAGTTTTACTCCAAACCTTTTTGAGAAGATTATTTCTACATTGTTAAACAATTTACTGCCCACTGACCCACACAGTGAAGTGCACATTACACTTAGTGGTGAGTGCACTGGCTGTATAATGGAGAGGGAGGAGAGGATGCAAGACTAAAATGGTAATTGATATATATAAATGTACCCACATACATATAGAAAAGTGTAAATACTGATGTGAGACATTATTGATAGATTTGCAGCATTTGCTTCAGTTTAAGATGTCCTGAATGCAAAACCAACGTCCTTCAACATGGTCAGAGACCAAAACTTTCTTTATTTCTAGACCATGTTTAGCTTTGGGGATAGAGATTCTACCTAAAGAAAAAAGATGCTCTGAGACCAGAGTTTTTACTTTCCTTTCTCTTCTCCTTTCATATTTGTGTTTTCCAAGTGATGATATGTGACCAGGCACAGCCAGGATAAAGCATTTCCATTCCCTCCATATTTCTAAACTGTTTTACTTTGCTTTCATTTTCAAACTTTTCTCATTTTCTCACCAGCCAGATGCCTTATTAGGATAACTTGTATGCCAGCACCACACTGATCTGAATTCAGTGCATTGCTTACAGAACTTAAGCTCTATGTACATCTATCAACAGCTGAAGCTCCTTACACAGAAGTCATTAAAACTGAGACAGCAATTCTTTCTTACTGGCCACTGTCTTGACCTTCACAGAGATGCTTTGAATTGGGCAATTCATATGAAATTTAGTACTGTGGTGTAATTCTCTCTGTCATGTGTGATAACTCAGAAAGCATGCTAGTCATTCAGTGCTACAACTTGGTGTAATTGCTTCTGCAGCCTGACTGAAAGCTACATCATATGATCTGCCAGCACATGATTAGTAGTGTAGTACATCTCTGAAACAAGGCATGCAAAATACATTCTTTAAGTCCCTGATGAGTTCAGAATCTACTATTAAACACTCTTTCGCATGCAGAAAACTTCTGGATGTGTACGTATTTATTGTTATAACTGGTGAGCAATAAAAACAACATTCACTCCATCATTCCAACTCTTAATAAACTGAGCACATATGTATTAAACATCATAAACCCACAAGATTTTACTGATTATAAAAAAGCCAAGGTTATGCATGTTTTGCACTGTTGTTGCATAAGTTTTGGTGCCTTGGTGCCAAATTCAGAGCTCAGACATGAGGCAGCTCAGTGCAGAAGAAAGGCACTCCCTCCGCTCTTAAGAATGCCAAGAATTTTCCCATTTCACTAGTTTTACTCTGTGCCGTTCCAGACTAGATCACTGAACCCACAGCTCAGGCCACAGGCTGGCTCAGTTGCCTAACAGCTGATATAACATTCACCTCTATTCCCTGCTTAACGAGTGTCACTTCTTAATTTAATTAAGGTTTTAAAACGCCTTCCTTTTTGCTGTACGTGTTGTGTTACAGCTGGACTTGGATTCCTAAGGACACTAAATGAGAAATCATTGCTTAAAGTGTGCAAGAGATGGCAGCAAGATAAACTTCTATTTTGTGGACTGAATCAGAAGCAATTAATTCCTAAAAAAAATTGTGGATTTAGTTGGAAGCCAAATATAAAAACTCCAAAGCACTGACAGCAACAGTGTTGAAGGCTGGGGGGTTTTAATTATGTAAGCGTGCAAGGATAGCTCTATTTATTCTTTTTTCTCCTAACAAAGTAAATGATCTTCGCTTGCTTGGTGTTGGCAGAAGAACAAGTAAACATGAGTAAATAAATTTTAACAAGCAGGATTATTGCCAGAGAGAAACACTTCTCTTTTCAAAGCATGTCAGAAGTTGTTTATGTTTCATTGGGCTGAAGAAAGGGAAAGAAAGGAAGAAGGAGGGTGTTTCGAGAAGGGAACTCAGCGATACTTTTTCCTTATTTATTAAACTATAAAAATGATTTCAACCATCTTGTTGAATCCCTCATCTCTTCCACCAAATAAACACTTGTAACAGGAAATTCTTGTTTCTCTCCCTCCTGTCACAGAGATCTGTAAGTACAATGAGGCAAGCTGAACAGCGGTAGCTGCAGAACAAGTGGGGCATTCGAAGAGGGGTGCCCATGTCCCCACACGTGTCTAGGGGCTTGGGAGGAACATCAGACAGGGCAGGTTTCACCCTGACACCCCTTGTTTGGAGATCTGCTGGGTTTAGGAAACTCCAAAATGTCAATCTGCCCATAAAGTTTTCTTTCCTCCATCTCTTCCCCCTCAGCACATAGGCACTGGTAGCTTCCAACTTAAATTAATTTGGGTCTATATTTTGTATTGTCTTTGGATAGGTTATGGGGCAAAGGGTTCTCCTCTGTACTCACCTGCAATATCCCAGAGCTGCAGCCGTACCACAGTCTCAGCATCCCAGCTCAGCACCTTCAAGGCAAAGTCCACCCCGATGGTGGCCCGGTAGTGAGGGGAGAAGTTCTGGTGGACATAACGTTTGATGATGCTGGTCTTGCCCACTCCCAGGTCCCCGATCACCAGCAGCTTGTAGAGGTGCTCCTTCTGATTGTGCTTCTGCATCCTTCCTGTGGCTGCGGCTGCTCCCTGCGAACTGATTGCATGCTCTGCCCAAGGAATCCTGCCAGCCCGAGGGGGAGAGAGGGAGTGAGGAACCGGGGAGGGAAAGAGACCAAGGTAGGTGGAGGCTCTTTCCCTTTGTAAGGAAGCAGGATCACCAGGTCCAGCAGGCAGCTCTGCTGGGAGATGAAGTAAGCAAGGGACTGGGGGATGAAAGTCTCCCAGAAAGTTTTGTGTGATGTGTGTAAAGATCAGCACGAGGTGTGTCTGGGATTAGTCTGGCTACTAAAGACCTTGCAGGAAAATTCATGCAGCAGCCCTGTTCCCTGCTTTGCTCCTTGCTGGAAGGACAGGGTTTCTGTTGTGCACTAGTTTTACACGCTGGTTTTTAAATGTGACAATTTATCACCCTATGCTTGTTTCCAGGCATCCTTAACATGTTTGTCACAGCACAAAAATAAAAACATCCTTTCAGAAGTTTCACTCCTCCTTTAAAGTGCAAAAGTTAAACCAGTGTGACTTTACCTTTGGATGTGATTTGGTTTTAATCAGTGTAAGTCAGCGTGAATGCAGTTGTATCACTAGAAGTGGTTACAGCAGTATAAAGCATCTGTGCTTGTGTCCACACTAAGAGGGCTGGATGAATTTAACTTAATCCATTTAAAATCCTTGGAATTTAATTACAAGAGATGCAGATATTTTAACATAATTGCAGTTGTCTGTCTGCACCTATAAGCATGCTTACATCTGCTGAACGCAGCACACAGCTTATGCTTTGTTTTTCATTACAATTAGACCCTACAATGCAAAAAAAAAATCCATATTTATCCCATGACTCCGATAATCAGAAGTTCTGAAAGCAGAACAGCATTAGAGCATATGAATGCCAGGGTCTCAACAGTCCTCTGTTTCCCCAAATAAGTGATATCAAACTTGCAAACAACTGAATGCATTTGAGTAAATCATTCCATTGACGTGACTGCCCCTGTATTTTAAATGAACACAGGGACAGTTCAAAGATGCAGCTTAGCTGGAGACCCCTGTCCATTGCCTGTAACAGTTTTGATATCAAAACCCCAGAATGGTCATATTCTGTGGAGATGATTTTTACATTTATTGATGATATTGGTAAAATAAGCCACATTTTACACTTACTGAAATATTATTTAATGGAGTTCTCGTCCAAATACACACTGAAAAGGCATTACAAACTTGTCACCTATCCAAAAAGCTGGATTTTAGTAGACAAAGAATTCAGAACACTTGTGTTATGCAATCTTTTATAATCAGTCTTTAAACTCAAACTTTACAGTTTTTATATATACATACACACAAAGTGGGAATGGGTAATTTGAGAGGAAAATAGTGTTATTTTCCTTGAAACTTTTTTATTTTAGGAAGAGGCTTTTTTTTCAGTAAGATGAATTCTTTTTTTTCAAAAAACAGCTCTCATCTCTATCATTCTGTTTAGAAAGAAAATTTTAAAGAGCTTACCCTTGCTAGCTCAGACATATAAGACTACAACCAGTTCACTCCAATCAGTTACTATCTTTCCATGGCTCAAGCTTATTATTGTTGCTACTGGTAGGGTGCAGGCTGTGAGCCTTACCTTCACAGCACTGCTGTTTTAGGAGAGGATGCAATACCCAATGCGCTTCTAAGCACTCACAATTCCCTTTAAAGTTTGATGATTTCTCATTTTAGAGGTTAAAAAAAGGACAGGCTGAGAGGGTATAACAATTCAAGAAATGACAAAATTGGTGTTTCTGATGAGATTGAAATTACATCTGATCTTTTATCATTCTTTGATGATGGCCAATGCTTGGAGAGCAGTGCATGGAAGACCTCTGTAAGCAGGTATTAGGGAGCTGGAGATCTTAAGCTGTTAGCAAGAGATTGGCCTACACCCAGAAGCATGAGGCTTTACCTCTCTTCCAAAGTTTTTGTTAGCATTAGCTATAATAGCTCTGGATAATCGTGTTACTTGTTCAAGTTTCCAATTCTTCTTTGAACCTGCCTAAATTCTTGGCCCCAGCAGCACCCTGGTACAATGAGCTCCTCAGAGGCTTAACCAAGGTCATCCCCAGATGGCCAAAAGGGCTACAAGGAAGGTATTCAGTGAGGTGCTCAGATACAGGGTGAGCATGTGGAAGGCTTCATTGCATTCAGAGGGACGAGCTACTCTGAAGCATGGACTGAAGTGTCTTGCTGAGTGAAAGCTGTACCCAGATCTCCCAATTCCACGATGAACTGGCTTTCATAGACACTGCTGAATGCTCCTAAGGTGAGAGCAGGCTCTTAGCCCTTTTTGGAGGACTGCTCCCATGTCCTGAACTATGTGTCTGCACTGGTTTGCCTTCATTGTCATCTATAGCCACCAGAGCAGGCAGGTATGGATGTATTCCTTATTTGCAGTCATGGGGCAGAAAATCTGGGCTGGTCAAGTCTTAAGTAATCCCTGCAAGACTTGTTTGATGTTACCACCTGATCCCTTCAGGCACACAACCAGGTTACTGTGACTCCAGGATTTGGTGTCCAGGGAAGCGCACTTAGCCTGAAGCTGATGCAATGCAATCTGTCAACTGAGACCCCAGTTAAGGGCAGGTAATGTAAACCATATTAGCTTGCACTTACCACCCACAGGTAGTAGTTAGCAAGGCTCACCTGACATGGAGTAACTTGTTAAGCTGGGAGAACCAGATTGTGCCTCTGAGCTTTTATTCTGCTGCTTCAGGTCCTTCAATAATGCCAAGGCAATAAGAACATGTAAATATGCCACTCATTTAGTTGGTATTTCAGTGTTCGCATTTTGGTTGTCTGTGTTTTTCTCTGGCAAAGACATACATTTTAAACTTAATTAAATCAATTATCAAGTTTTTTAAACATTATTTAGTTATTAAATAATAACTGAAATTCCACAACTTGTACCTACGCTGTTTATTTTTGTATTCCCTGCCTATTCACTATGCTATTTGCCACAATAGTTTCATCCAGTGCCCTGCTCTCTCTATTTTAACACCTATACTGATATTATTAGAGTATTTAATTGACAGGAATTGATACAAACTCTATGCATCTCCATTGTAATTAACAACATTTAAGGAAATTCCATCAACTTAAGGCATCACAGACTTTGTTGGCCTCAGCATAAACGTGAAACCCCTTTTACAGTGATAATTTTCAGGAATTTCTCACTATTTCTCCATCAATAGTAGAGATCCTTTTCTCTGAGAGAAGTGATAAAACTGAAGATTCAATTACATTGACAGGAATCAAGGGCAGCATAACTGCATCCTGGATTTTGTCACTCCTCTCTGCGTGGCATATACCACAGAGAAAGACGTCCATCTTGACTGAGCACCACAGTTGTTACCTACATACATTTAAAACTGACAATGGTATCTGAGATACTGAAACCACAAAGTAGTAGTTTTTGTCCAAGGAAACACATTCAGATTATTAGAAATGTGGGTACTCAAAGAATTGGCATCTTATTACCTATGGCTTTTACACCACAGCCATTGACATCATACTTCGTACCTTTAAATATCTTGAAGGGATTGGCTATGCCATCCTACTAATCTTACTGAATATGATATAATATAAATGACACCATAATCCAGAGAAATGCTAAATATATATCTGCATATGTATGCATATATCTGTATATATGCAGATACACAAATTAATATGCTAGATCAGAAGATTATTTTATGTCCTGCTTTAAAACCAATACAAAACATTTTCATTCTATATTTTTTTTTGCCAGACTTCTGTACCCCAGTTAATCCTGGGACATGGAATAAATACTAAATTGCTAGCTACACAGACTAGTTCATCTTTTATTAATATATGGTCTTCCCCATTTCAGTCATAGCACATTCACCGACTTCATTATGGGAATGGTCAATCATGACAAGAATAATCTTTTACAGTGAAATAGATTGTTTTAACAAAATGGTGCATTTCCCCCAATTTTATTTTTAGACTAGAAAGACCTAATTAGTTTGGATTTTCTTCTATTCCAATGGTTCTTGTGATTAAGACATTCAGTTAAAACTTACTATGACTCATTACACATACCCATACTGGAATGGTTATTGACTTGCCAAACATAGCTAAAGCTCTGCCTTGATTAAATTATGATCTTCTTAACTTATAATTAACTTAGCAGAAAATGCACTTTATCAGGAAAGATCCCTCAAGGAATATCTAAACAAAAGTTTATCCAACCAGTAGAATAGACTTTGTGGCCAGATGTCATGTTCCTTGTTCTGAAACAAGTTATAACTCCTGCACTCAATTATTCTCACTCATTACAAATTCAGTCTACACCCTGGCTGAAAGCACTCTATCAATAACATAACAATGCAGATTGAATGGGCATGCCCAAGTGTTAACCACTTGGGGATTACTATCCAGATGCCCCACAAAATAAGGTCTGGATGGCAGCAACAGCCTATAGCAGCGTCTGTTTTAAATCAGGAACTACATTTCCTACATTTTAGCTGAAAACAGCTAAAATCTTACAATAGCAGCCCTGTTATAAAACTCTTAAAGAGGCACAAGTTACTGATTGAGTGTCCAGTTTTGCCGTACTAGAGCAATGGGTTTCTAAGGTTAGAGATCTTGCAAGACTAAACCTCAAGGCAAGATGGGATTCAGGCCAGAGAAACAGTGAGAACACAGGAAAAGAGATTACAAATGTTAACAGCCCATGTGTGCATGAATCATTGTATTTAAAGAGTGAGAGTTTGTGGCTCTCTCACAATTACAAACCCTTAGTCTGATAAAGGGACCTTGCTTGGCTACTTATTGCCTATTCCAATAGACCTTCCATATCCACCAGCCCTGTACAGATGCCTCAGGGCATCTCAGATGGTTTCAGTTACCTGTGTGATTACAGTCAGTGCTCAGATGAAACCACATGTTTCTATTCCATCAGACTCAAAATATAACAATAATAATTTGATGTAATTCCCTTGCTCAAAACTGATTCTTTTTTATTATTATTACTATTTTTTATTGTTTATAGACTCACAGCCTAATAAAATCCAAGTTAAGGTCTATCCTTTAGAGCCTGCAGTGAAATCTTAGATGGGTTGCAGTGCATTTTACACCAAGTACATTAGAACAGTCCCCTGGGAATTCACAAACACGGTGTAACTCAAAAAGG